TTGTTAACCAATGTCATAAAACAATATGTGTACTCCTGTTTCATGAGAAACTATTTGTTCTGTAAGCCTTCACCTGAAGTACAATAAAAAAAAAAAGTCTGGAGGCATAAAAGAATATCACATGTATAATTTTGTGTGGCTAGAATGCAAATTGCTTAGGGAGACATGATGGAAAATGACCCTGAAAAGGCCAGTTGGTGGGAGATTATGAAGGCCTTTGCCTGATTCAATAGTTAAACTCAAAGGCAATAGGGAATCTTAAAGGTTTTTAAGCAAGAGAGCATTCTGTTCCTTATTTTATAATGATAACTGGTGAAGCAAGGAGATTGGGTTGCAGAAGGGAGAGCTTGACTATAGACAGATCAGGCTGAAAGTGATTGTAAGCGTTCAGGCAAGCAATAAAGTAGGTACTATTTCAGACCCATTTCACAGATGTGAAAATCAAGGCACAGAGGGTTAAGTAACTTTTCCAATACCACACAGCTGGTAAATAGAGGAGCTAGGATTCCAACCTAGGTAGTCAGATTGTAACATCCCCTGTAGACATCACTAATCTGCCAGGCTGCCTGGATGAATGTCAGAGGTGAGAGGGGAGAGTCAAGTCAGCTCTGGAGCCTTTAGCCTGTTCCACAGAGTGGAGAGTGCTCCCATCATATACACATGATCACAGAGGAAAAGCAGGTCAGATGAGCAATCAATGAGCTCAGGTTCAGACATGTGGTCCAAGAGGTCTGTGAGAGCCAGGCCAAGGCTACAGGGGGCTGTTGAAAATGCCAAGAGAGACGTGGGCTGGAGAAAACAAACCCAGACCTGGAATATCAGCGCTAAATAGAAACTGTTCCACCCAAGACCCTCATGCTGAAAATGCAAAACCTAAGGCCATGAGAGGCAGCTCAGAAAAGTGAGCTCTAGAGCCAAACCCAGGTTCAAATTCTGGGCTTAGACATATGATCTGGATAAGGTTCTTGACTTTTTAAGCGAGAGTTTTTTCACTTATAAAATGGAGACCACACTACTTTATCTATATTTAGCCATGTGGTTGTAAGGACTAGAATTAATATATATCTAAAGTGGAGCCCTGGTAGCACAGTGGTTAAGAGCTCAGCTGCTAACCAAAAGGTCAGCAATTCAAATCCACCAGCCACTGTTTGGAAACCCCACGGGGCAATTCTACTCTGTACTATAGGGCCGCTATAAGTTGGAATCGACTCCACAGCAACGGGTTTGGTTTTTTTAAGCATCTGGTACCTTACCTTCCAAATAAATGCTCGATAAATGGTAATAATTGTTATTATCATTATTATTATTACTATCATTTAAGCGATTTGCCAAAAGTAAGACTAGACCGTAGGCCAACGCTTTGGGCTCCCAGCCTAATTACTCTCTTGGTAATTTTTCCCGTAAAATTCTCTGAACAACATGGAATTTTCACTAATTTTTCAACCCAAGTAAAGAAGTTCCTGCTGAGTAACTTGAATTAGCCTTGTTTTGTCAGTTCCCTATTAGCCAAAAGAATAACCTAGAAAAATCATACAAAATTACATATATACATATATATGATGGAATATAAAACATTGATGGAAAGCAAATTAAGTGTAGCATTTTTCTAGTCTTGATGACTAAGGCACATTTGTAGCTGGCTATGTGCATCTAAAGAAGAATCAGAGCAAGAGAGTGATAGAACTTTCTCAGCCATGGTCACCTTGCTCAGGATTTTCCATCCCAACAACATCTGTGTTCATGATGGGCGCATCCCCTAAGAAGGATGGTCTTTCAGAAGTCACAAAGAATTTTGAGACGAAAAAATTCAAGGAAATACTTGGAATAAAGTAGAAGCCTTGAAGACTGAAGGCTATGTAACCAATTATTTATCACTTTGTCATTCCCAACTCCTTCAGAACGTATTTTTCTTTGGATTCAATGTGGTGACTAACAACACTGTTATTTAGTCCGAGACCTTGGGACTGAAAAATTACAGCTGAGTCGAATTTCTGGTAAAATGACTCTGATTCACATCACACACACACACATACAGGTCAGAACACAAATACACTTAAGAAGAAAAAAGGACATTCGAAATAAATGAAATCTATTGTTTAATTCAATTGCCTCTAAGATAATATGCTTGGTAGGGATGTGAATACAAGCAATGTAGAAAAAAAGGAGAGGAGGAAGCAGTGCCAACCTCATCCATTAGAAATGAGGAGAGATGTTTCAAGACAAAACTATTTTTTTCCTTCCCCACTAAGGAATCTTGGCCCTTTTTAGTTCTTTTCACCCCTGAATATGCCTGGGGTACCTCAGGCTCTGCTGGTTCTCGCTCCTTCCATGCCCCGCCCCCACCCCCGCTTATCTGAATATATAAGCCTGCCCTTTGCTCAGATTTATGGGTCGGGCCAGGGCTGTGTGTATTTACAGTGTTCTGACCTGAAGAGCCCGGGCTGAAGGAGAAGAGGAGGAAACCGGGACCCATTCCATAAACAGAGACAGATATGAGGGGGAGGTAGAAGGCTTTGCTAGCACTTAACATTTTTAACTATTTGGCCAAGCTTAAGAATTAGTGATTAGATTAGAGTGAAAGAAAAACAAGAAATGTGGGTGCAGACTTGGGGCGGGGAGTAAACTATATATTTTTGCTCCAGTCTAGTGGCTTGGAGGTTCTGGGTTTGGGGGTGGGGTAGGGTTAAATTTAATGTGAAGGTCGGAAGAAAATTGTTAAGTCAGTTACAGAGGGAGCTATAAAATGCTTTGGAAGGACAGAGGGTCTACAAGGATGAGGATATAAACAATAGTTAATATGCCGGAAAATCTCGCCAACCACAAGTTGAACTCCTTGTGTGAAGCAAGATTACTTGCATTTTTTAAAAAATGTAATTGATTATAGAAGAAAAATCCCCTGCTCCGTGGTTAAACGAGACCACATTGCCATAGCTGACCAAAACCCAATCAATTTTGAATTAAAATATTTTTCTTAGGGCCTGATGCCGCTTTTGAAAGCAATTCCATTTTCCAACAGGGCTGCTTCTATGCAAACCAGTGGGTGTCTTTGTGAGGCTCATGAACTTGTTCAAATGGGAATTAAAAAGCAGTTGAATCTTGAGCAGTATTTGGCTCCCAAAAACTGAAACAATTTCCCCAGGGCCATATCTTTGGGCAAAATAAGAAAACACAGCTTCTATCTGGGGCCATCCTCAAATAATCCACTTGCTGGAAAAACTGGAGTTCATGAGGGGAAACCTTAAACCTGCCCACTGACTAAATCAGAAATAATCCAATGTCCTAAGTAAAGACTATAATATTCCTTAGAAAACTCAAAAACAGAAGCAACTGGGGCCACATCATAAGTGAATTGTTCACAAATCAACTTACGCTATAATAAAGCAAAGAGTTGTGATGTAGGATTTAAGTCATGATTTGAGAACTTGTGAAACATCCTCAAGTTACTTCTTTTTGTTCATTCTGATATACAGCAATTGGGACACCAAGATGCTACCTGTGAAAGCATCTGCTGTAATGATGATATTGTTTAATTGGAACTTCTTATTTTAACTAAGAATATGTGCTGGGTAGTGAAGAGAATTATTACAGTCCATTCTGAATGAACGTGTGTGACTTGATTTAAATTATCACTAATAATTCCAATGTGCTTAACTCTGTGTGTGGCACTTTATAGATGTTAACTTATATCATTATTATTGTTATTACTATTACTTTGTTATTAAAATCATTAGTCTGGAAGTAAAAGTAAAATCAATTCTACAACTGACCTTTGAAAACATTCAGAATACAAAAATTCAGACAAATGTATTTTCTTTTCCATTTCCATTTGCCATTTTATCAGGGGTGGATTATCTGATATGCAAGGTAAGCGCAGGCTTACTTGTGTTTACTTACTAACCTGTAGTGAACAATTTCTCATGGTGAAACTCATGTGAAATTGCTCACCACAGATTAGTAAGTAAGCACAAGTAAGCCTGCGCTTACCTTGCTTACTGGGTCATCCACCCCTGTCAGGATTATAAATTTGAAAAGAGGCTTTGATTCTGTAGGAAGGTGCTGTGGGGTTGCGAGAGACAAATGCCAGCCAGACCTAGAAGGAGAATCTTTGATGTGGTAAAAAAAAATGTGAAATTGTTCCCTACAGATGATCTGGTAAGCAGGGTAACTACGGTGCTTAGCTTGCTGATTGGATAATCCACCCCTGCATTTTATGGTTAAACTTAAACCTCATATTCAGGACAGCAGAGCTAAGAAGGCATTTGATGATCACATGAGTGCAAGCTGACTATACAATAGTCAAACTTTGGGCCAAAAAAAAATGATAAATGGGAGAGACTCTAACAAGGTTGCATTTCTAAAGTCAAAGGAAATATACAATATTCTAGTAAACTGATTTGTGTGCTGCTCTCATTTTGAACTTGTCTTTACTCTAAAACTGTGAGACTTCTGCTTTGTAAATAGTGCATGCTCAAAACAGATGCAACTCTGTGTGGACAGTTCAGGAGGATTTCTGGGACTCTTACCTAGCAGCTAAAACGTTATCCTGTGTCAGGTCTGTGGAGATCCATTTGCCGGTGAAATCATTTTTTTTTTCTCTCGTATGGAGTGGATCATAGCGACAGTGGGTTCCGACGTAACCATTTCGGAGCAGAGGGCTAGCTCAGTATGCCAGAAAAAAAAAAAAAAAGCACCACAAAGAACATTGAGATGAATGGCTCTATTTTATGAGCCATAAAAGTTTTATTCATCTTGACACTGAAACAGGTTTAGGCAGTGAATTGACACGCCTTAAATAAATAAGTGGAATTAATTCCCCGGCCCTTGAAACAATGGAAGCATGCGTGTAACGCGGAGAAATGCCCCATTGTTTCCTGTGGCTGCCTGATATTGATATTATTTGTGTTTTTCTGGCTGCTTCCTCAGGGGCCTGGTTGATCCACTTCAGATTCATACCCTGTTTTATTAGAGGTTGAAAAATGTTCAAGACCTGGTTGTACCGCAGCTCCCACCGACAGCTAAGGAACCAGTTTGGCGTCTGGTTGGTCTGTTGTTTTACTGCTGACCTTCAAATCAACTTTAACCCCTGACCTCTGGAGGCATCTATCATGACAAGAGGCTGTTTAACACAAACGGTGCCCATTTATAGGGGAACAGGCTCAGAAGATGTCCTTTTTATGAAGAATTTAGTTTTTCCCCCCTCTTTTCTCCGTCACCACAGGTGAAATCCCTCTTAGCAGCTGGCTTATGAAATAATGTGAGGAGAGGCCTTAATAAGCAGAAAGCACCCTTAGCTGGAGATAAATATATGCAAATGAGATGCACAAACAAAGGAGCCTGGACAGAGAAATATCTGCATTTCCAGCGAAATGCTGCCTGCAGCTCGAAGATGAACAGCGTTGATAAAATGGTAACAAAAAGCACCTTTTTATCCTCCAGCTTGTTTTACATTGCAATGGACCATTGTCATTGCAACCCAGCGGAGCATGCAGAGGTTTTCTGCACTGTTTCAGAAAACTGTTTAAACATTTGTTTTAAGGCATTTATGAAATATAATCAATGGACTGCTTCTGTTGGTGTTGTGATTCTTTTTTTGTTTTTGTTTTCCCTGACTGTGTTTCGGATGCTACTGTAGTTATTTTACCTGTTGGTCTTTTCGTTGTTTAATGTTGCGCTGGCATTCTTGCCGTACTGTTTCCCGTTTTAGTGACTATTCATTCCACTGGCTACATTTTCTTTTTTTAAATTTTTATGGAAAGAGGTTCCAAGTTAATAACTAGTAAGAATCAGCTTGGAGGAAGGGTTTGAACTATCTCAGAGCAGCACCAAACAACTAGTTTTAATGATGGCAATCAAGTGTGAAGAGCCAATTCAAAGACAGGCAATGTAACATGCTGATTTTAATAAGCTTTAAAAAGGCAATCTCTAACTTTTAAAAGTCTCTTTTTAATTTTATAGTCCTGGGTTCATACAATGCCAAAACAAACAAAACCATTAAAATATGTTTTCAATATGTATCCACAGTGTTATTTGATGGTGTTTTATATAAGCAGTGTGTTCGTAAAATATTGATTTGATGAGCTTTAAAAATGGAAACACTGAAATCACTAACCTATTTGGAGGGGGAAAAAAAGGAACATTTTTCTCTAAAAATGAACTACGCCACGGCCCCCAAGATCTTACCAGAGGGAGGCTGGACTCAGGACACATAAATTCCTGCAGTTATTCCTCCATTGTAGCATATGTATTATGTTTAGGTGAATAATCAAAGCAGCTAAGGTGAGAGAAGAAACACTATCCCCTTCACATACGTCAAAATCCTATTGCTCCGAAGGCTCAGTAATATTTGGCTCTTTCATTTCTAATGCAATCCTGGCATTCTTCAGTAGAGATGTACAAAGATCTTTCCTTTACCTAAATTATTTCTTCTTGGGAGCTAGGATTGGAGAGGAGACATTTCTTCTGAGTACTGTGTAGCTTTCAAATTTTATGTGCATTTCATCAGACGAATGTCACATTTGCTAATAACAAGAAAATCTTCTCATTTTTAATCTGCCACTCGCATTGCATGGGGGCAGCGAGGTGGGGGGGTGGGGGCGCAAGCCAGCGGTGGAGGCGGGAACATAAAAGCATTGAGCTTTCTGACCAAAGAGAAGAAGGAGTAAAAAAAAAAAAATGCTTATTTGGATTTAAAAATGACACGCAGTCCGTTATCTCAATGTCCTTATCAGTGCATCATGAAATTCAGAATTTCAAGAGTTAATAGAAACTTGGTTATATCAGGGATGCTTTATCCAGCCCAGGTTTGAAGCAGCGTAATTATGTTCAACTGCTGTTGTTTGGAAAGGGCAAACAGCATCTTAGGCACAGAACAATGAAATCGCAGCTGAGATTTAGGTTAGCAAAAGCCATCTTCTCTCGGTTTTATGATTCATTATTTCCCATTAACTACAGTATTAGAAGTGTACACTGGATAGCTCGTGGTTGCTGCTCTCGGAGCACATTATCTATATTACACAGGTCTGGGGAGCAGAATTAGAAAACTTTGGGGGAATGAGCAATATGTGTTTGCTGATAGAAGTACCATATGGCTCATCTTCTTCAATTGCTTTCATTGTGACTCTGATGCTGGAGAAATTAAAGTTTTATTTGATGTGGCACAGCTTAATGAACTGTCTTCTGTTAGGAAAATTGAATATGTTTCCTGTTATTTGAGCACAGAGCCTCCATGCTTTGGCTGATGAGGGATGCATTATGTATTGTTTATTTAGCATTTTGAAAACAAAAGCAAGATATTGAAGGTAAAATTGATTACTGCTGGATTGCATTATATAATCAAGTTTTCTCCCGTTAAATTTCCCTTTACAATCCTTTTGTAATGGTTTAATATGAGATGGTTCCAGGGGTTTTGTTTTTTCAAAGGTACACAGAACTTGGTTTTATCAAGATACCTTTATTTGTAAACAAGCCACACGAAACCCTAAACGCAGTATTGTTCTATTTACAAAGTTCAGAGAATGATGTTTGGGGAGAAAGAAAATAAATCAGTTTGTGTGAATCTAAGTGCAAAACTTCCAGGGAGCCCCCCATCCGTTATGAGAGAATGGAGCATTTGATTAGTTGAAAGGGGGATGTCACTGTCTTTTGTTTGAAATAGACCACTTCAGAACATGCTGGGGTGGGGCCCTGAAAGAAGAGAGAGATATTATATCTTGGGAAATACAAACCTCAAAATATCAAGTTTTAGATTTTTGAGTTAGTTGTCAGCGAATGAAAAGCTGGCTTCCACCTGTGAATTTAAAAAAAAGAAAGTATACATACTGTGACTTTAGATTGTTTTTATTGAAAAGATAGGATAAACACACACACACACACACACACATAACCAGAAATATACTTACATGAGGAACAAAGTGGGGTGTCAGTCCATGTAAATATTCTCCACTCCCTGAAAATTTGCCCACAGACACATTTAACATTTTGTTTAATTTTTTCCCTTTTTGTTCCACATCTGATCATTTTAAAGATCTTTTAATCACTGCGTTTCTTTCTTTCATTTTTCAGTGAACAGTATCCTCACATGTGCTGACGGCTCAGGCCACTGACCTGCAGCAGCTAGGATAAAAAATAGTTAAAGTGATTCAACATGTTCTGGAATATACAGTCCTGCTCCCCGTCTCCGCGCCCCCCCCCCAAAAAAAAAGTCATTTGTCTTCTGCGTCCTGTGATGTTTTGAGGATTCTGGCAAATAGGGCAGTTCAACAAACTTCTCTCACAATCTAAATACTGTCTGTTCAAGAGAGGCTTCCAATGTTTATAGTCCACAAGTTAAGGGGAAAAAAAAAAAAAAATCTGGTATTTAACCAAGAATCATGCTCTTGAAAATGTCTTCGAACAAAGTGTTTAAGCAAAACTTTGGGCACAGATATCCTCAGTTCCTCATTTGTCCTCTGATTTTTCCCCCTCAATGAGGAATTTTTGTGTTCCTTCATTCTGCTCCTTTTCTTGCAATTAACAAATTGATTTTTAAAAATTACGGCCTGGCCAGTGACCTAGTCGTTCAAACCTCCTTCAGAAAGAGTTGCGAAGAAAACATCCCATTTTTATGAACCCCCCTCTCCTGACAGGGGCCTAGGAGGAGGAACACCATTATGCATTGTTACCAGCATGGTGTAATTTGACTGTTGACAAAGTATCCCTGGCAGTGAGAATGAGCGCAGTTAGAAGTGTGGCGGATTGTAATCAAGAAGATGCTTAGCTGTGCAACACTGCATCTTGAGCAGATTTGAATCAACATTGCCTTAAGGGGACACACGCACATACCAAAAGGAAAAAAAATTCCATTAATTTTTAGAGGGAAAATTAGAGTGGCACTTGATGAAGTGAAATCTGACATGCGTTAATTGCTCCACAGCTCTCCTAATTAGAGATTTTCAAATTCTTTTACTGCTGTCACCGTGATGGCACATTGTCTTGCCGGACAAATACTAAAATTGCAAATTGGTTTGATCAGAAAGTTTTACGTGGGGAGATGGGGCTGCATCCTCTCTTCCACTTCCAAAAGGTGGACAGTGAAGATCAGAGGAAACTCTCAGCTCTGCCTTCACCATCGATAAAAATGGGCTGATTAAGATAGTTTCATTCCCAGTCTTAATGTAAAGGAAGCAGGTGCTGATGTGATTTTCTTAAACAGATGGAGGTGTTCCTTTGATACTCATGCCTCCGCTTCAGCTGAAGTATTTCAGGTGGGGAAAAAAAAAAAGCCAATGAAATGCTACATTATATACACATTCTCATATTTCTACTTATATTCTTCAGAAATTAGAGAGAGGCAGGTTTTGAAAGGCTGTGTTACATATTTCCCAGGTCCAGAGTCTAAGGCAACAGCCCTCCTCGTTCGCCTACTTATCTTAAAGTAATTATACTGCTGTTTGGCCCCTAGGATGACATCACATATGACACCATAATAATTTTGGTTTCCTTTTTTTCAACCCGTCTTGTCTAGCCCTTGAACCCCTCTTAATCCATTAACATTGAATTTTTTTTTTTTAATTTTCCATTTTCTTGCAGTAGCAATATTAATGCTGGGGTGAAAGCTTAATTGGAGCTAAATTACTTGTTACCTGCTGGCATTTATTTATATGGCATTGAATTATAAAGCTTTGCTATTGTCATGCCTTGGGTGAATTGTTTATGACACCAGTAGTAGGAGTAATTGTTATTGTTGAAATTACCTGTCAGCTACCCATAGCAGTGGCCCTTGTCCGACTGACAAATAGTGACAAGGGAGAGGTATCCTCCATGCGTCCCCCTGATGGCTTCTCCTCTGATAATAAGAAGTGCAGGGCCTCTGATAATTTGCCTGTCACTGTTGAGTGCAGCTCAGAGAGAGTTGGCCAGATTGTTGTCATTCACTTTGACAAAGACAGCAAAATGCTCCCGTGCAGGAGAAGAATTATCAAAATAAATGAAATCACTTACACCCCCTTTGTTTGTTTGGCTCTAGAATTGCCTGCTGTGTACGAGGTTGTAAAATCAGGGTCCATTTCTGATGGGTATATCTCTGTTCATTCTAAAAGGGTCCCAGGCAAGGAAAGGCACTTGAAAAGGCTTACGATTTTGCAGTTTGCATTGGTTAGTAAACAATTACATTTAACTATAAAGAGAAAGTCAGCAAAATTGTAACAAGAAGTAGAAAGATGTGGTTGGATACACTGGTTTAAAACACATGTAATAATTGCACTTTTTCTCCTACCTTCCTTTTATGCTTCATATTCTTTTTCTACCCATGCAGGCATTCACATTCAATAAACATTCAAAAATGCACAAATTCCCTGTTTTAATCAAGTTTTCCTTAAAAGTTTAGAAATCTGTAGCTCTGACTCTTGCAGCTTTAAACAGTTATTTCGTCGAATTTAGGATTATTATTTCAAATGGCTGGTTCCTTTCTATAAATTGCCTTTTATTTATAGAATATCTCCACGTGTAAAGAGATAACTGAAACGTATTTCCAGGTACGAAGCATCAGTTATCACAGGCTTAAGGAGGAAGCAAAATGGCCCGGTGATTGCTAGAGCTCAAATATAAATATTTGCATCTTAAAACCCCTTGGTTGCAGTCTGTGAACCTGTCATAGTGTGTGTTGGGGGCAGGGGGCGGGGGACGGACTTCAAGGAGTGTCTACATCTGAAAGAAATGGACTTCAATCCAACCTTTGCTCTTGTAAAAACCCAAATCATTCTCACCTTTCCACAAAAGGCATCATTTCATGCTAGGAAAATGCTTATTTTTAAGGTGCCTGGGAGGCTATTCCTCATAGATCTTCTTGACAAATGCTGGCTGTTTTAAGAAGTTGGAGAGAAAAGAAAAAAATAACCAGGGTAAATATAAAATATTGGCTCCTTACAGGATAGTAATCAGCTGTTTATTGGTCTCTACTAGACAAGTAATGACCAACCACGGTGTTAAGTGCCAGCAATGTTGCCTTGGGCCCTTCCCTCCTAACGCCAGCCATTATCTGATTAGAGAACCTCAAAGAAGTCACTATTGCATAATTTTATGGGTCTTAACAGCGCAGGTTGGCTGGCAGGGAAACTATCTAGAAGGGTTGATAAAGCAACAGTGAAACACGATTTTATTTACTCCACTTACACCTTACTCTCCAAAAGAGTATCTCAGATGCTGGTGGCTGCAGAAGAAACCTAAAATTGGTTCACATAGGGATTGTGTGGGAGGTGCAGGAAGCGGAAGTAGCGGGAGAGAGACAGGAAAAGTAAAATTATCTATCACTTAAGCATTTCATGGGCTGCACAGTTTGAAGTGATTAACAACATTGTTATGGGCATCTTGGTCTCTTCTTAGGTGTTAAAGCAGGTAAATAAATTTTTAGCCGTGCTAAAATCATACATGCAATAATATGATGCTAGGGAGAAATGTGTTTCTAATCACTAATAATAATGTATTCTCCTAAATGCTACCACTCCGTGGTAAACTATGTTGAATGTTCCTGATTAACAAGTGGAAGGCAGTGACATAATTAAGAGGTTATCTGTAGAAATAAAAATGCTCAAACCTGTCTTGGAATGCGATCCTTTTAACAGATAATTTTTAAGAATGTAGCATGTCCTTACTTTCTCTGTCGAGACACACGTTAGTGATCCCAGGAGGGAAAATAAACATACGTTTTTAAATGAAGATATTTAAAATGGACCACATATTTCAGTGTGTTGCTGTAACCGGCTTCTTTTTTATGTTCCTCCTATAAAACCTAAATTAAGCCTCTTAGGAATGGTTTTGCTGCAGGTTTCGACTAAAAACACAATACATTTTAAATGGTTCCAGTACTTGAGTGCACTTTAGTATGTAATCACTAATGTGCATTCTTCCCGCCGTCCCCCGCCCTCCCAAAAAAAACAGTCCCCCTGAAAGGATGCGCTTTCTTTAAGATTTAGCTTCATTTGAAACGTAAACTTTTAACAAATGGTAATTGCTCCTGTAGTTCTATTGATGGAGTGACTGGCAGCAAATCTTTTTTTTCCCCTCTCCTGTAACATTTTGAAACACCCATCAGTGTCAAAGGAAGCTCCGCACGTCTCCTTTGCTGCTCTAAATAAGGCTCAGCAATGTTAAGAAAAATGTCAGAAAAAGCTCAGTGGATTAAAGTAACATTTCTGCACCATGTCAGCGAGGATGGCAGGGCAGACTAGTCTGCATAATTCTGCAAGACATTTTTTTTTTGTAAAATGCTTACTCTATAAACCAAATGAAATTTTATTTGGAAAGACTCAAGGTTGCATTTGATAACATACAACGTTCAACTGTTTTTCTAAATCTTGTTATTCTTTAATATGCCTTGGGTATTTTTTTTAAATTAGAACAATAATACACTCTTCTTTTTGTAGAATGTTTCTCCACCCGTATGCAGCGCTAAAATACACTTCAGACTCTTCCACGCATATTTCTTTTTCTTTTTTTTTCTAAAATTCCTGGGATGTTCATTCAGTGAAAGCAGTAAAAACGCTGGGCTCTTACACATGCAGATTCATTGAACTAATCAGTCCCTCTTCCCCGTAAATAAAATATGTACATAGCTTTGGAGATTTTTCAGAACAGTGAATTTACTCCAACCCCCCCCCCCCCGCATGAAAACTATAAGCATTTATATTTCATTTGTTTTTAAAAATAAATTACTGGTTGGAGGTTTTTAGTTTGGTTTTATTCTTTTTTTTTTTTTTCTAAAGGATATTCAATATTGCAAAATAGTATAATGGCAGTAAAATATCCCATTATAAGTATTTAATTAAAATTTACCAGTTGAAAAAGACAGTATCGTACAAATTGAATACTAGATATCAACAGAAATAGCAAGATTAGTTTTTCAGAAACAGTAAATTTCAGCTGAGTTTAAATATAAACTCTTTAAAAACAAGTTAAAAAATGAATTTAGACAAATTTGTCTCTTAACCTTTAAAGATTCCCTGCCCGTTTCTGTATGTCCTTTATTACATTAATTTTTTATTTAAATTACACCATTAACTGGATATGAATTTATCAAGAACACATGTATCGATTTATAAAACAGTACCATTAATTATTATAATAGCTAGATGTAGCTGATATTACAAAGCCAATTAAAGGTTTTTAATATAACTTGGACATACATAGATAGATAGACATTATGGACAAGGCTACAATTTAAACTGGCTACCAGCAGTTAATGAAATCCTTGATTTATATTCTAGTTTAGAGATTGATTATATTGTTGCTTTGTAAAACTATTTATATTATGCCATTTTTCAAAGGATGTCTCAA